GTGTTGATATGTATGTGTCTATATATATAGAGGGGAGAGGGAGAGAGAGAGAGAGAGAGAGAGAGAGAGAGAGAGAGAGAGAGAGAGAGAGAAAAAAAAAAAGAAATACAATAAAAAAAAAAAAAGAACAAAAAAGAGAGAGAAAGAGAGAGAAAAGAGAAGAGAGAGAGAGAGAGAGAGAGAGAGAGAGAGAGAGAGAGAAAACAAAAAAAAAAAAAAAAAAAAAAAAGAGAGAGAGAGAGAGAGAGAGAGAGAGAGAGAGAGAGAGAGAGAGAGAGAGAGAGAGAGAGAGAGAGAGAGAGAGAGAGAGAGAGAGAAAACAAAAGAAGAGAGAGAAAGAGAAAGAGAGAGATGAATGCGCGCGAGTGCGCCTGCGCGCGGGCGCGCGGGCACGCGCGCATAGCGGGCGCGCCCCTGGGGGGCGGGGGCGCGGACTGGGGGGCGGGCGACGCGTCGTTCCAATGCGCGGCGCGACAGGGCGGGCGGAGCGATGGATCGGAAGCTATCTGCGCCGACACTTGTCCGCAAATCGTCTGGCTCATTATCGCGAGCGGCCCGAGCGCGCGTTGGCCGGCGCGCGAGTGGCCCGAGTGTTGGCGGGCCCGAACACGAGCGAGTCTGAGCGCGAGTTCGTCAGCGCGCGAGTCAGGGTGCGACTGGGCACTAGCGAATGTGAGTCTGCGCGATGCGATGTATATCCGTGCCTCCTCTGTGATTGGGGCCCGCAGAATGAATGCGCAATGCGAGCGCGCGCGCCTGCGCGCGCTGGCAACTATGAATCGCACTTGCCGCGCATGGGCGCCATTATTGTCCGTGCCATTAATTATCCCCCTCCTTTTCCCTTTCCCCCCCTAGCCTCGACCACTTTGGCTTTTCTGCGGTTCGAGACAGAAGGGCCACCGGGGCAACGGGGGCAGGCGCGCGCCGACATGTTGGGGCGACGGGGGGGCCTGTGGCAGGGGCAGGAGGCCGAGAGGAAGATGGTGGAATGCTTGCTTGTCCAGTCCCACTTAATGACGCATCTGGTCATCGAGTGGGCCCGCGGCAGGATGGCGCCCCAGGAAGCGCAGAGGATCTCGGCTCTCGCCGAGCTTGATCTTGTGGCCAAGGGTTTGCAGACACTGGGCGAGGGGCTCGTCGACGAGCTAGCGGGCATGGGCAGCGCGGGCGCTGCCCGCGGAGGATGCCCAGGAAGTTGGTTTCAACGCCGTGGTCGGCAAGGGGCACCTCGAATGATTGCCCCAACAGAGCAGCAACTCCGAGCACCCCTGCTGCGCGGCGCGGTCGGGCGCCGCGAACAGACGCTCGACGTCTTTTGCCCGCGTGTTGTCTTCTCGAACTTGTGCCGCCACTACAGGGGGTCGCGGCGTCAGGCCATGCGCCAGCCCCGAGAGTCGGTTGAATCGATTTGGCCCGCCGCGGCACGCGCGCCGCAGTGCCGCGCCCACCCCGTCAGGGAGCGAGCGAACAATCGGCGCTTTGCTGCGCCTGTCAGCGCGCGCGGGGGCGGCGCGCCCATCGCGGGGCTGGGCGCAGCGCGGGGCAAGATGGCGGACGTTTGTTTTCGCGGTCGTCGTTTCTCGTTCTGGGCCCAGCCCACGCTGCGCAGATTTAGATTTTCAGCGTTTTCGAGGGAAGCCAACTTGCATCGGAGAGCAGCAACGCTATCATCATTTCTTTACGAAGTTGAGGTGCAGTCTTTATTGGCTGCGGCGAGGTGACTGGCCGACTGAAGACGCGCGCGGGCGCGCGCCCGGGGGGCGACTGCCCCCGCGGGCTTTTAGCTGACGGCTGCTATGGCGTGGACTGGGGCCTCGCCAGGGACATGGATCGCCTCTGCAAGGTGCTGGATATTCCAAATTGCAGCGCCGCTGCGAACCCGTGCGGCCAGTGCCCTTGCAAGTCGTCGCGGCTGCCGTGGTTCGACTTCAGGAAGCAAGCTGCCGGGCTCAGCAAGGTATGCACGTTGGAGTCGTGGCGCGCCCGGGCTTCGCGCAAGCGGCGCGCACTCTACCGGGTTCCAGCGGTGGCCATCCATTCGTCGGCGCCACATTGGATGCGCATCAAGCACTTGGGGACCGACGGGCGCATGATCGGGCCATGCATGGATTGCCTCGCCCACCGCGTGATGGCCTGCACCCGTGCTGCAACCTGGCAGAGACCATGACCAATGCGCATTCAATTTGTAGGAGGGATAAGGTGCCCACGACATTCACGAATATCAGCGTGTCCATGTTCACTTGGCCCAAGAAAGGAAACATGCGGGGAAAGGCGCAGGAACTCAGGTGCTTTACTCCTGTGCTCAAAGAGATGAGATAAATTTATCAACCCGACTGTCGCTGCCCATCGTACGATCCCCCTCCCCATGGACCTCGGCCGCGCCATTGACAAGGAGGTCGACGCCATCGACCCGACGTTGCACTGCTTGCCACAGAGGGATGCTGACTGATATGTGCTTCAAGTTTCTTCAAGTGTGGGGACGGGCGCAACAAATATTCACCGATGGCGATGAATCGCCTGATAAGCATATCTTGCGTATGACGATCAAGTGCCATTCTCTCCTCCGCGCAGGCTCGGCGTCGGGGCATATATTCCCGAGGAAAACTCGGCGCTGCGGGGGGGATTTCATGCAGAAGGTTTGTAAACATGGTTTTTCTCTGTCGATGCGGTGGTTTCCGCGGCATGTCGGCGACGTTATGTTACTGAGGTGCGTTGTTGGGTTTGTCTTGGCCCTGCGCCGCGTGGCCGCGCGCCGGCGGGAAAACGGAACGTTCGTTTGCCCTTCGCCCCCCCCCCTCCCCCCTCTGGAGTGTCTCGGGTGCGTATTGGGGGGCTCTTCGTGGGGTCATTGCAGTCGTCTTGAGGATTTCCCCCCAGCGGATCTTGAGAGGGCCATGAGTGAGGGAGTGGGAGAGACGAGGGAGTGGAATGGGGAAGAAGGGGAGGGGAAGGAGGAGGAGGAGGAGGAGGAGGAGGAGGAGGAGGAGGAGAGAGAGGAGGAGGCAGGAGGAGGAGGAGGAGGAGGAGGAGGATACGGAGGGACGAGGAGGGGGGAGGAGGAGGAGGATACGGAGGGGGAGGAGGAGGAGGACGAGGACGAGGAGGAGGAGGAGGAGGAGGAGGATGAGGAGGAGGAGGGGGAGGAAGGAGGAGGGGGAGGAGGAGGAGGAATAATACAAGGAACGCGAGGATGAGGAGGAGGAGGAGGAGGAGGGAGGGGTGGACGCCCTTCTCGCGGATCGGGCCCCGCAGGGTGGATGCTTATAGGAAAGCAATTTGGAATGTGTGTCGGCGTGCCGCGCGCGCGGATCCTGCCCGAGAAGGAGCTCCACCGAAGGCCCGATTTTCGCCTAAGGACACGTTGGGCGGGCACATAACTCCGTCACGTTGGGTGGGTAATTTGCTGATCGTTCGGTATTTGTTTGACATGTTAGGTAAATGTTTATGTCAGCTGCTTGGTTGATTTTCCGGTGGTGGTTTAAGTAAAGACTACTTGCCTGAATCACGACCCCAACTCTGATTAACGGATTGCCAAATCAACTGCTGAATTCGGCATAGTTCCAATTTTCGTCACGATTTGCCGAATTCAGCACGACCTAACTATAGTTGATTGTTTTGCCCAATCGGTTTTCAAGGACTCTTCCTCCTTCTCCTTCCCCTCCTCCCCGTTTTCTTTTTCCTCCTCCTCCTACTTTTCCTCCTCCTCCCCGTTTTCCTCCTATTCCTCTTCCTCCTTTTCCTCCTCCTCCTTCTCCTCCTCCTCCTCTTCCTCCTCTTCCCCCTCCGTTTCCCGTTTCCCGCCTCCGCCTCCTCCTCTTCCCCCTCTTTTTCCCCCTCCACTTCCGTTTCCTCCTCCTCCTCCTTTTCCTCTTCCTCCCCCTCCTCCTCCTCCTCCTCCTCCTCCTCCGTTTGCTCCTCCTTCTTCTCCTCCTCCTCCTCATCCTCCTCCTCCTCTTTCTTCTCCTCTTCGTCCTCCTCCTCCTCCTCCCGATCTTCCTGTTCCTCCTCCTCCCGTCTCCCGTGTCCCGCCTTTTCCTTTCCTCCCCTCCTCCTCCTTCTCCTCTTCCTCCTCCTCCTCCTCCTCCACCTCCTCCCCCCCCTCCCCGTCCTCCCTCTCCTCCTCCTCCTCCTCCTCCTCCCTCTCCTCCTCCTCCTCTTCCTCCTCCTCTTCCTCCTCCTCCTCATCCTCCTCATCCTCCTTCCCCTCCCCCTCCGTATCCTCCTCCTCCTCCTCCTCCTCCTCATCCTCCTCCTCGAGGCAGTCACTTTCGCGGAAGAACAGGCTGCATCATTGAACAACAATTTTCGGAGGTCCGCGTGGATTTCTTCGATCCTCGACGAGCCCCCCTCTGGCGGCGTCTCCGCCCCTGGCGCGCTCCGCGCGCCAGTGACGGGGGTCCAGCGACGATTCCACGGAATCCGCACGGACCTCTGAACATCGTACGTTTATGGTGATGTGTTGTTTCTTCTACAGTCGACCCGCACGTTAAGGATGGGCAACCTTCCCAGGGGTACCCTTGCATCCTTGCCTCCTCGGTCCATCCCTAGCCACTTTCGTTGGCCGCGCCACGTTCGAGAGGCCTCGAGACGGCCTTCCAGGGCCCGTGCGAACCTCATCGTGCAGTCGACGGCCTATTTCTGCAGGCTCGTTGCTCCTTCTGCCTGGCATCGCCTGGCCACGTGCTCCTGTTCCCTCGGCGGGGCCAGCGCCAGAAAGTGAGGAACCCTACAGCTGCGAGAGCCTCTTCTACAATACTGAAGGGGCCCCCGGACATACAAGTAAATAGACATAAATAGCAGGATTCCCCATATTTTCTTATATTTTTCTGGGTTTTTGTCTTCCCCCCCACTTCCATGTTTTCCCATAGTTTCCTGGGTAACAACGATTAATTGTGTCTGTGTGTTTTTTGTTCCCAGTTTGGTGTAGTTCGGATCGCCCCAGGAGCAAAGAGAGCACACTCGAAGCCACACCGTGCGGGGGGGTCGGACGCCCCCCGGAGGTCCTGCTGAGGTGCGCCCTCGCGGCGTGGAGGTTCCGGCGGCGGTCCGCGCGGCACCGCGCCGCGGCCTCCAGGCTGGCGTACCGGGTGCTGCAGGAGCGGCCAGGAGAAGATGAGCGAGCGAGCTTCGTCTTCCTCGTCCTCCTCCTCCTCCTCCTCCTCCTCCTCCTCTTCCTCCTCGCTCCTCCTCCTCCTCGCTCCTCGCTCCTCCCCCCTCGCCCCGCGCCCCTGGCCGCGCCCTCGGGCCTGCATCGCCCCGAGGGTGCCCTCGGGCCTGCATCGCCGCGGGCGAGTCTGCAGGTGAGCCACTAGCAGACGGAAAAGAAGGGGAGAAGGGGGCTCGATCAGACACCGAGCCCGAAAGAACATGAAGGCGACGCCCTGGGCCTGAAGGGGTTGCAAGGCCAGGGCGCTGCGGGATCAATCAGAGCTGCCCGAGTCGTCCTCATCCCCAACTCCCCCCACCGCTCTCCCAGAGACTGACGCCGCCGCGGAATCGAGAAAAAAACATCGGACCGATATCAATCGGAGATCTCCGAGAACCCGGTGGTTTGGAGGAAGTCTCGGGCGCCGCAGCCGTTTCGGAGCGTTCTGACATGGTCTGAGAGTGTTTCGATCGGAACGCTCTTGAACGGATGTGTCTCGATTCCAGGCCAGTCCGACAGGCAGCGGTGTTTTCCCCTCTTGATCTCGGGGGTTTCGAAGAATGTCCTTGGCCCAAGGTTCGCCATGAAGCAAAAGTGTCTAGAGGGAAACGGGTCCTGAGATTTCTTGCTACTTGTTCTCTAGACGCCAGGAAAGACATGCTCCCAGCTTCTCGCGCAATGTTTAGGGCCCCACGGGGTCTCCATGCTCCATGGGGCCTCGTAACGGGCGCTCTTGAAGCCGTTTCGGCCTCCCGGGCAATCTTGGGGGCACCCTGGGACAAAAACATTGTTGGCAGCACCCGAGCAGGCGGAGAGGGGGGGGGGAAGTAGAAGGGAGACGGCGCAGGATGTAGCAGGAGGGAGGAGGAGGCTGAGGAAGAAGATGAGAGAGGCAGAAAGGACGGGATGAGGAGGAGGAAGGGGAGACGGGGTGTATTCGGTAGCAACTCACGGAAGCCGGGTCTGTCTCCGAAAACCAGTAGTCAGAGTGCATCTAGCGTCTGACCGCCGATGAGAAACCGTGGACTTCGCATCGAGCATCGTCGATGTAGTTTCGAATTGGCGTCGGCTAGCGACTAGCGTCAACCAGCGTCGGCTAGTGCCGGTTGGAGTCGATTCGCAAGAGCCAGCAGATCGGCACGGGAGGCTCCCATGCGTTTCCAATGAAGGAAAGAGAGGTGGAGGAGGAGGTCCAGGAAGGCGAAGCGCGGAAGGGGCCGAAGGGTCGAGGAGAAGGACGGAGGAGGGAGGGAGGGGGGATGAGGGGGGGGTCGAGAGAGAAAGAGGAACACCGGCCACGCGCAGAGGGGGGTAGGGAGAGGGGGGAAGGCTTCTCGGAAGCACCCCTGCTCCTTAGAAGGCGCGGGCCTTCCCCATACATGTAAGGCGGGCGCTTTCTAAGAAGCAGCCGCCTTCTAAGAAGCCTTCCCCCCTCCCCCTACCCCCCTCTGCGCGCCGCCAGGAAAAAGGAAGGCTGAGAATAATGAGGGCACTGATGAGGGAGGGGCAGGAGGAGGAGCATGCAACACGTAGCAGGGACGACAGCGACGGCGATCTGCATTTGGTCAAACATCACATCGGGCCCATTACATCGTCTGCGCCCTGCGCGGACCGCCTTCCCTCTTGTCCGATTGCTTTGCTGCCCTCTCGGCTTCTCCGTCTCGCAGATCCCTCCCCCATCAGGGCGCTCGTTCCTCCCCCTCCCCATCCTCCCCTCCGCCTCCTCCTCCTCCTCCCCCTCATCCTTTCCCTCCTCCTCCCCCTCTTCTTTCTCCCCCTCCTCCTCCTCCTTTTCCTGCTCTTGATATTCTTCATCATGCCCTTCCCCCATTTCGCTCCTGGTCTCTCCTCTGGAATCATGAAGACAACCTGATGAGCATCCCCCCAAACCTCATGTGCCTCATTCCTGCACGAGGGCCAATTGTATGCCCTGAGTGGTTGGGCCTTTCTTCTGCTCTGTTAATGTTACTTGTTGCTACTGTTTATCTGCTTGCCCGCATCCCTTCCATTCCTCCTCTCCTCATTGCCCGTATACTCGAATGGTAGATCATCAGTACATTCAGCATGCAGGGCAGCAGGGTTTGGCCGTGGACGTTTGGCCCAGGGTATTTTGCTGCGCCTGTTTTGCAGTCGTTTCGGGCATTTTGTTATGCATCCGGCTCACATGAAAGCATCGTTGTCATCCTTCCTTCTACACTCTAGTTGGTAGAGGAGCACCTTTCTCCACCAACGCGGCCTCCATGGCCCGCGCTGCGATGCCTCGCGCCCCTGGCGCCCGCTCTACATCGACTGGTACGTCGACCCTCTCTACACCGACGTGGACCACACGTACCCGACTCACCATCGCGTTGATCGTCTACTTCGCTCCGGCAAGCGCCGCGCCTCGAGGGGCCGGCGGGGCCAACCAGGCCCATCCGTCATCAACGGCGCATGAGGCCTAGCACCTTTACGTTTCCAAGAGCATGTACCAGAAGGACAGCGCCCCCCGCGTTTTGCCCCCGGGCATTTTCGAATTGCGTTCGAGATGCTCGGGGGGCCCCGAAGCTTTCGTCGTTGCAACATTCGCCTGTGAGTGCTGCCGTCAGCGTCGGCGCAGGGACGCGTTCCACGCGCAATTGCGCTGGGGAAGCCCGAAGGAGAACAGGGCGACGAAGCGGGCAATTGCGTTGCCATCCGTCTGGGGGGCCCCATTGCAGAGCGCTGACGGTTTTCCGGGACATGGCCCTCGACATCGCCAACGCGTTCTTTGCTTCTGGGCGGGCCTGGATCCTTATGCGCATTCCTCTTGCTTGCGCGCAGTGCACTGACAATGCAACGTGCGACGAGTTCTCTCGCCGCTGGGGTGCTCAGAGCGCAGCTCGCGCGCCAACCGCGCGACAGAGGGGTAGACCCAATGCGCTGGCGGGGATGGGCACGCCAGGGGCATATATCCACGACGGTTTCGATGTTCGCTACCAGAACACCGCCGCTCGCGGGCACCACGGTTGTCAAGCCTGCTTTGCACTTGGAGGGGCTCCAATCTGGATGGACTGTAGTCGGAGTGGGCATGGTCGCTGCTATCAGCTGCGTCGCCTGCGCGGGCGCGGGCGGCGGCGGCAGCGGCGGCGCGCGACGCCTCCGCGCCTTGGGGCCCGCGCAGCAAGTTCGCGTGCCCTTCCAGCGCTGGGCACGGGAGGTAATGATTATGTCTGTGGCGAACTCCGACCTTGACGGGTTTCGCCGCGCGGCCAACGTCTCGTCTCGCTGGGCCGGCGCGGCTCGCGAGCACGCGGGCGACTGGCCGCTGGTTGCCCCAATCCCAGGCGTTCGCATCAACGGGGCCCCAGCGCCGCCCACAGACTACATCGCGCGCAGCTTGGCCGTCCAGCGGGGCCAGCTTGGAGAGGAGGGGCGCGCGCAGGCGGCGTTGGCTCTGATGGGGTTCGCCCGATCGCTACTGGGGCGCACCGGCCACTTCCTTGCCGGATTTGACATCATCCGCGACAGGGCGCAGCAGGCCGGCCATTTCAAGATCGGCCGCGAGGGCCTCAGCTTCCCGTTGCCGCGCGCGGTGGGTGCGCCGAACGTCCGGGTTGCCACGGCCCCACAGCGCTTCGACGTGGCCGTCCTGGCGGGCGTGCCATTACAGGCGCGCGCGATGGGCCAATTGCGCAGACTTGGTCATGTGATTGAAGGCTCGCCAGGCGCTCGCCTCAGAGCCGCGGGCGGCATGTCCAGCGGCGGGCTTCGGTTCCGGCGCCGACTCCGACGCCGCGTCCGGCGAAGGTCCTGCCAGCGACCCCAGGTTGCGCGAAGTCCCCGTAAAATAGCGCGGAGCGCCTTCAAACGCACGCGCCCCGACGGCGCCGCTTCGGCGACGACGAGCTCGCCCGCCGCGCGCGGGGGGCCATCGGACGCATGGGCAAAGGCCACGGGAAAGACTGCCGCACCTTCTTGGCCGGCTTGCCCGCCGCTGACACCCGCGCGACGTTTGCTGGCATCGGGGAAGGCGAGGGCAGACGGCGAGCATCGGACCAGTGGATTGGGAGTCGGCCGACAAGGCAACCCGCTGGGCCCAGACGGGGCGCGCCCCATGTGCCGCGAGCGCGATTCAGAGGAAGGCCTCGTGCGCGAATGCCCCCGTCGGCGCCGGCAAGGGCGCGCCGAGTTCCTCGGCGCCCCAGCCCCGGCAACGCCACCACCGCCGACGCCGGCACCCCCACCGCGCGCGCGCCTGGGGCACCACGGAGCGCCTGGGCCAGCCGCTCAACAAGCAGCACCAGGTGCCTACTCGGTCTAGATGGCCAGGGAAGCCAGCGGGACGAGATGCCCAGACCTGCGGTTGCGGGACCCGACAATGGCAAGCCCATGCAGAGCGCCAGGCCTGGAACGGCTGCCAGCCGACTCCAGCGTCGGCAACTGCGCGGCCAGCGCCAGCAGCAGCAGTTTCCGTCTGGCGGCCCCTGGCAGGCAGCTGGGTACTGCGTCATCTTCATCTGCGCCGCCCAACCCTTATGAGGCGGCACTTCTGCGACTGCGCTAGGACATGGATAACCTCGTGGGCCGACCGCGACAGGACTCTGTTAAACCAACGGGCAGGGCAACTACGTTGCCAGTCCGCGCGGCAGGAGTGGGCAACGCAGCAGCTGCAGCGCCCGCAGGAGATCACGAACATATGCAAGTACTTCGTAGAGGAGAGGGGGACGAGAGGGACCCAGATGGACATCCGTGCTTCATGACAGCGCGCTGGTTTCTTAAAGCGACGCGCCGCAATGCCACGACGCGCGCTACGCGCCGCCGAGGAGCAGCTGGAGCGCGAAGGCACCGTGGCCATTTTCGACTCCATGCTGGCCCGCGCCATCCTCGCGGGCAACGGCCTCCCAGCGCGGGCGGCGCTGCGCCGCGCAACGTCGTCTTCGGCAGGCGCCCCCCCATGCTGCCGCCGCTCGAAGCGTTCGAGGAGGGCGAGGGCGACTCTGTCGCCAGAGCCAGGGCACGGGCTGCAAGGACGCGCCCAGAGCATTCTCCATGAAGCTTGCCTTGGTCTCGCGCTCGCCCGAGTGCAGCGCCAGGCCGACGCGGTGGGGCCCGGGGCCTGAGGTCGAGCGCGAGGCGTTTGGCACTGATTGCGACGGCGTCTCAGAACTAGTATTCACGCTGCCCGGGCGCTTCGACGATCTCGTGATTCCAGGGCGCAAGGGGCGCGTCGACCGCCTCGTCGACCACGCCGAGAGCGTCTTGTGGAAAATGAAGGGTGAATGCGGTGACTTCACCAACTGCGGCGTCGACCAACATCGCAGCGCCGACGGCGCAGCGACGCTGGACATGGACGAGTGCGCCGACGCGCTGACCCCCGCCAGGGGCGTCGACCTAGCCAGGTCGAAGGCCGACGAGCCCGCCAGAGGTCCACTGCTGGACCTATTTGTCTCCTTCCGCGGAGCAGCTGCCCATGCGCTACTCGCGCGACGCCGAGATGCCGCCGACGTCGTCGCGCTGCAACGGGCCAAGAACAAGCTGCCCATTGTTCTGGCCACGCAGAAGATCACGGCGCACGCCGTCTTCCTGGCGATGGGGCGCGCGGGTCAGACCAGCGCGCGCAGCGACGGCTGCGTCGCGCGCGAGGAGGAGACATGATGCGGCATGAGAGGCGCCCCGTACATGCGTCCGGGCAAGTGCCGCAGCATTGGTAAACAGATGTCCGACTTGCTCGACACTGTGAGCCGATCGCATAAACTCGTGCATGGACATCATTCGGCTCCGAGCTGTTCGCAGCACGTGGAGCAGCAGACGGTCGACAGGCGCACCTTTTCGCGCTCCGCGAGAAGGCGCTCGGGCCCGCTTCGGCCGACGAGATCGGGGGGCACAGGGAGGAGGGGGTTTGCGTTGTGCCCGCGCAGCTGGTCGTGGACGGCGCGTCCTTCTTCTCCCCGCCAGCCATGCCGCGCGCAGACGCCATCGGACAATTGCATGGCCGGCCGCCTGCAGCGGCCGTCAGACCAGCTGCGCACCGAACAGCTATCTATCCCACGCGCCGTTGCGCGTTGCCCGTGACGCGAGGGCCGACCCCGCAACGAGCGAGCGCAACAGCCGGGAGCTCATCTTCGGCACCATGTAGACGGGGGCTCGCTTGCGCACGCCCCGCGGCGAGGTCGAGCGAGAGGCCTCGCAAGAAGACGGCGCCGAGCTCGAACTGCAGCAACCTCTACAAGGACACCGACAACTTGTGATAAACTCGGCGTCGCGTGTCCGAGCTCTGTTCGCGATCGCGGCATAGTACATCAGGAGCAGGAAAGATCACATATTCGCATGTCCGAGCTATGCTCGCGAATGCGACGTGGTGGGACGCACCAGTGAAGGGGCTGCCCCCGTGAACTGCGTTCGCGGGGCAGCTGGCCATTTCGCGCTGAGCACCGAATTATACATTCTGTGCTTAGCCAGTAGTTGCCTGACAGCCGTTTCTGCGTGGCCGCGACCGCAGTTCTTCATAAGAGATCCGGCTTGCCGAAAGTAATGTTACAATGCGCCGCGTTGGTGGCCTGGGCGGTTTGCGTCGGGGCTGCCAGCGGGGCACAGGGGGCCCGCTTGAGCACCAAACTCGCACGCTAGATCATCAGTGCATGAAGCATGCGGGGCAGCAGGGTTTGACCATGAGCGTTTGGCTCAAGATACCTGGCCGCGCCTGGTTTTCAATCGTTCCAGACAATTTGGTCTACATCCGTTTCACACAACAACACCGCTTCGACCCTTCGCTCAACATTCTACTCGTAACTCAGGCGTCCCAACTGGGACCAGAACGCATCGGCTCGGAGGATTTGCTGCATCGGATATGCGGCGCGAGTTGGAGTCCCATCTTCTCCGCCCCGATGTGGTTTGTGCATCGGCGATCCCTGGCCAATCGGAACTAGAGTACCGAACTTTTCGTTTCGTTTAATACTTTGACCTGGTTGCAGCATCTGGTCAGTCCTCCTTTTGCCCCCTCTGACCCGATCCGCTCTTGCACGCAAGCGGGGCATGTGCAATGGAGACAGAAAGCGCAGTATCGAGAGGCGCGGCGACGATTCGCTCCAGATTTCGCCATTTGAGCGAGCGCGCCGTGATCCAGGCCTGGCCCTGTCCGGCCAGGACTTCGCCGTGCACCATGTTCCCTGACCCGCTCCTGTGTCACGCCCTGACGCAGGCAGCGGGTCTGTCGCACCGCGCCCCGCTTTCTAACGTTGGCGCGGGAGGGGGGCGGGCCTCTTCGGAAGGCTCAGAGGGCACCTGGCTTGCCCGAGAAGGCGCCCATTCCCAAACCGCAGATGGCCTCTCAGAAGGCCGCGACGGGGGCGTCCACTGCTGGGAGAAGGCTTGCCTTCCCCCCTCTGACACTCTCCTCCTTCTCGGCGCGCCGCTCTTCCAGTCGTGTTTTTTGTTGTTTTAATTCACCGCCATGAAGAGAGGGGTTTCGACGGAAACGGGTCCTGAGATCATCTGCCATTGTGGGTTCCCCGGCCGCCCCATTGGCCCCGGGGTGGGCAGGAGATGGCTCAGGAGGACGAGCTGGCCCTGGGGGGAAGGCCCCCGTGGCCAAGGACCCGTTCCCTTCAGGGCCCGCTTCCATCTTGCCAATCCTCCCGCGCGCCCGCGTCCTCTGTCCAGGCATCATGTCGTATATTTAGGCATAGCTGCATCTGTACACATACAGGAAGATGTGTATATATATACACATATATGTATACATATATATATATATATGTCTATATATAGAGATGTATGTATATATATATATATACTTATACATATAGATATGTGTATAAACAAATATATATTTATATATGTATATATAAATATATTTGTACACACACCCTAAAAATACATATAAAAATATACATATAAATATATATGTACACACACACAACACACACCGGCCGGGCCAGTCTTGGGCCCATCAGGAGCGCACGCGCCCTCTTGGCCGAGCCAAGAGGGCGTGGCGCATACACCGCCGCTGGGCTCAGGATGGGTCCCGCCAGGGCGCAGCGGACAGGAACAGATCTCGCCGCCACCTCTGCGCGAGGACCAGGACGCCCGGATCGCGTTCCTGGCGTTCCAGGCGCTCCGCCGCGAGGCGCTCCTCGGGCGCCTCCCGCGGCCCCGGGGCGCCCCGGGCGCGGGGAGGCCCGCCATCCACCAGCTCGGGCAGTGCCCAAGAGGGATCGTCATCGGCGGGAGGAGCATCGAGGATCGAGGAGGTTCCGAGGAGGAGGGGGGAGGACTGAGGGGAGGATCGAGGAGGAGGATGAGGCCCCAAGAGGGGGGCACCATCGGGGAGTTCCCGGGAGGAGGGAGCCTCGAGGCTCGAGGAGGGGGCCTGGGCTGTTTTCTGTGCGTCTCTGGGGGGGCACCCAGGGAGTGTCCGGGGGGGGGAGCACCCCAGGCCTCCCATATGGGGTCGGGGGACTGCGACGAATGGCCGACGATCGGCGATACGGCCCGATGTTGAGCTCGATTTCCTCCAGGCCGACGTCGCCGATGCATCACCGACGTCGCAGATGCATTCGCCGATGTATCGGCGATGCGGCGCGATCCTCCGACACGCATCTGCTCGGACCTAGCCAGGAGGCTTCTGGGCGCCTCCTCCTGGAGATCGAGTTCTGAGGAGGAGGGAGGGTCGATGATCGAGGAGGGTTGGTTTGTTTTCTGGGCGTCTTTGGGAGTCGTGGGAGGTTCTGGGTGGGAGCCGGTGTGTCCGTGTATTCGAAGAAGTGGCGACCCCCCCCCGGTGGTGACCCCCCTTGGCATTGCTTGGTCCACCTCGGCGGCGGCGGCGGGGTCGGCGGCGGTAACGGCGGATCGGGTCGGACGAGAAGCTGTTTCGAAAGAAGTCCGGTGTTCGAGGTTTGCGAACCTTTTCCCTGGGTTCTCGGAGGCCTTCCAGCCGCGGGTCGCTTGCCAGCAGCTCCGGTTCGACGAGAGCTTGCCGGGGGTGCGCCGATCGTCCCGGACGGCCGCCGGAGACTTGAGTCACGGCCCGGAAGCCGCCCAGCATTGAGGGGGTGAGGGCCAGGGGGAAGTGGATACCATGTCAGGCGATCGCAAACACGGATCGAGGGGGCGTGGATTAGCGACGGCTCCCGTTTCCACGAGATCGCAGATTTTCGCCGCCGAGCGATGCGGCGCCGGCCGCATTTTGGGGAGGGCACCTCCCCCGATCCATGGATGTGGCGACCGCGCGCCAAATTCATGGATCGCTGATATGTGCGCCCCCGACCATGGCCGGGGTCATGAAATCTCGCAGGCTTCGTGGCCTTTGGCAGCACGTCCTCTGCCCCCGTCGACACCCCCTCGATCCCCCCTCGAATCCTCTCGCCCATCCTCCCTCGACCCTCCCTCGACCCTCCCTCGATCCCCCCTCGAGTCCTCCCGCCCATCCTCCCTCGACCCTCCCTCGATCCCCCCTCGACCCTCGACCCTCCTCGAAGCCTCCCGCCCATACCCCTCGACCCTCCTCCGACGTCCCCCCCTCGACGTCCCCCCCCCCTCCATCCTCCGTCCCTCCTCGGCTACGTCCTCCCTCCCCCCCCCCCCCCCTGTCCGCGCACGTGCCCTCGGGTCGTGACGCGCCAGCCCCCCTCTTCCCTTCAGGAGGGGAAGCAACACACACACACACACAATTCATCGTCGATCCCCCAGAAGATGTGGGGGGGTATGGGAAGTGGGGGGGAAGACAAAAGCTTAGAACATATGGGAGAATATGGGGAATCCTGTTTTTTGTGTGCCTTCATTTGTGTGTCCCAGGGCCCCTTGACATGATGCGCTAGCCCCCCTCTTCCCTGCCCCCCTCTTCGGCGCACCCGAGGCGGTGGCACCGACGGATCGGGTCGGAGGCAGCGCTGGGGTGCTCGAGGTCGGCGTCGTTTCGAGTGTTACGCCGGATTCCTGGAGGTGCTCGTCGCCCGCTGGACACGGGAGGGGTCAGGAGATCCCGGGAGCGGGGGAGATCGGGAGCATGATGGGTGGTCGAAATTTGGTGGATGCAGCTGGTTTGGGCCCCGCCGCTGAGCGCCTTCCTCGACCCGCCTCCAGCGACGGAAGGCGCCGAGAAGACCTGCGACCAGATGCTAGCCGCAGGAATGGCCAGTGCCTGTGCTCGCCAATTGTTCAGGGACCGAGGTATATGATCGAGGTCTGTGCGCGGAGGGTGTCCTTCTTCGTGTTTGTTGCATGTTCTTGTGACTTCTGTTGCATCCTGGGGAGGGGGCCCTTGGATGCTCTGTTTGTTACTGCTGGCGGAGGGTCCCCTGTTCTTCAGCGATGTTCCTCTGGCCCAGCCCGGTTCGGATGATTTGTGCTTTTCTGGGTATTTCATGGTTTGATTATGTTTTTCTTCCAAAATCCGCCTGCAGGGTTATGATGTTCCAACGTACTTCAGCCTTGATCACCAGACAGAATTTCGAGCACCGTGCCGAGTCTTGAGGGTTTTCACGCGTCGGGCCCTGGGAGGCGGCACTCGCTCGACACCGTTCTGACACTGTTCTGGGTGCTCGACGTTATTGAGATGTGGTCCTCAAGTACGATGGGAGCAACATAACTGTAGGGGGGTATGCCCGACCTCTGCCTGGGACCGACTGCACCCGAGCGGGGAGGAGGCGGCGGCGGCCCCGTGGCGACGAGGACGAAGACCGCCCGGCAGGGTTGCGAGCGGTCCGCGTCGGTCCGGTCCGATCCCCGATCGCGATCCGATTCAAATTCATTTAGGCCTCCTAGACTCGAAGAACGAACGGCATAATCATAAACTGTTGGCGCTCCGCGCGGATTTCTTGGATCCGCGCGGGGCCCCCCTGGCGGCGCCTCAGGCGCCGCCCCTGGCGCGCTCCGCGCGCCAGGGAGGGGGGTCCAGCGCGGATCCAAGAAATCTGCGCAGTGCGCCAGAAGATCATGTTTATGGTGTTGTTTCTTCTTCTATAGATGGGGTCCGAGTAGATGGGGTCGGAGGGTCGCGCCGCATCGCCGATGCATCGGCGATGCGGCTCGATGTGGAGCCCGTGTTTCCCCGCGCCGACGTCGACGATGCCTCGCCGGTGCATCCACGATCCATCGCCGATGCATCGGCGATGCGGCGCGATCCTCCGACCCCCATGGTGCTCCGACCCCACCTGGGAGGCCTTCCATCAGTTGTGGCAGTGAGGGCCGCGTCGTCGCTCGGTGCCCCTCTCGGAGCCAGTCTGCGGAGCTCTGCGTGCAGGTCTGCCCGACTGCCCGTCTGGGCCCGCCTGCCCAGCCGCCTCCGTGGCCCCCCCCGCCCGCGTGCTCACGAGGCCACCTTTCCGCAGAGAGCTCCGGAGGGTGGGCTTTCGCCCTCTGCCCTGCCCAAATAATATTTCAAACGTAGTCTGAGGATTATTTGTTAGTATGGCTTTTGACCTTTTTGGAACATGTTTGGGGTATGTTGTTATTCTTCGTCGAAAATCCCCCTGTAGGGGGTAGGCCCGACATAACGTTACGCGACGCGCTCCGCAGTGCATCATAGAGGGCGTCCCCTCCTCCTCCCGCTCGCGTCGGGCCGTTGTGCTGCGTTGCCGCTCTGGCCGGCGGGCCCACCATGCTCTCTCCAGGGTGGTGGCGCCAGGCAAAGGGGCCCACGAACGGAGTGGAGGCGCCCAGAAGCCATATTGTTGCAAGTCCTCATCGCCATCCTCACCCATCCTCCTCATCACCTTTCCTCCTCCTCCTCCTCCTTCTCCTGGTCCTCCTCCTCCTCTTCCTCGTCCTCTTATTCCTCGTCCTCTTCCTCATCATCATCGTCATCATAAGCAGCATCATCAGCATCATCATCATCAGCATCATCAGCATTATCTTCATCATCCCTCCTCCTCCTCCTCCTCCTCCTCCTCCTCCTCCTCCTCCTCCTCCTCCTCCTCCTCCTCCTCCTCCTCCTCCTCCTCCTCATCCCTCCCCCGCCTCCCTCCTCTGGAGGCCGCCCTCGCCCCTCCCTCCCCCCTCTTCCTCACTCCTCCGCCTTCCTCCTCCTGAGGCCGCCCTCGCCCGTTCCTCCGCCTTCCTCCTCGCTCCTCCGCCCTCCTCCTCCTGAGGCCGCCCTCGCCCCTCCCCCCCCCCCCCCCCCCCTCCTCGCTCCTCCGCCCTTCTCCTGGGTCGGCCCTCGATCCTCCCTCCCCCCTCCACGCTGCTCCTCCCTCCTCCTGCTGACGCCGCCCCCGCCCCTCCCTCCCCCCTCCTCGCTCCTCCTCCCTGTGGAGGTCGCCGACGCCGCCCAGCCCCTCGGCGCCCGCGGCTCCATCGCCCGTGCCCCGTGGGCTGAACGCAGAGGCGCGGTGCCTGTCGCGGGTGCTGCAGGCGCGTCCAGGGTCTGCCCCCCAAGGCTTGGTGGTAAGTCGGGCGTGTCCCTCTACACAAGGAATATCCAAGAATAGTCAAAGATGACTCAGGGGACGATTTTCCGACTATGCTTTGAATTGTTTTTCGTGTGCTTGATTTTTTTCGCGCAAGATCCGCATGTAGGGGGGCACACCCGGGCATGTCCCCCTACAGGAAGAATGTTCAAATGGTAGTTTAACCACAGTGTGGTGACGATGTGTTTTGTTCTTTTGACTATGTCTGACTCTGCTCTTATTTTTCCCGAAAGGCCTGGCGGCTCTTCTTTCGATCCTCCCCCTCCTCTCCCTCGAAGAAGAAAAGGCGCCATGAACATAAACTGTTGGCGCTCCGCGCGGATTTCTTGGATCCGCGCTGGGCCCCCCCCTGGCGGCGCCTCTGACACCGCCCCTGGCGCGCTCCGCGCGCCAGGGAGGGGGGTCCAGCGCAGATCCAAGAGTTCCGCGCGGATCTTCAACAGTTTCTGTTTATGGCGCTGTTTCCCGATATCCAGAGGATGAGGGTCTTGTTATCACTCTGACCGCGCCGAGAGGGAACCTTTCTTACACCTCCCTCCCGCCTCCTCTCCCTTCTCAGATTACGTCATGGTGCGACATCATGTAATGCCTTGGTAAATGGCATGGTATGATCTGCCATGTTATGTGCTGGTATGCAATCAGATGTTATGTTATGTGATGTTGTTATCAATATCCACCATGTTTGGTTTTTGCTGTTACTCCAACCGCGCCGAGAAGTCATCTCCCCCCCTCATATCATGTATCATTATATGGTATTGTATGCCATGGTAGGTTATCCGATGGTACGTTGTTATATGGTATGATTTCTATGTCATGATATGTTACGGTATGCTTGTGTATAGTATGTTACTGTGCGACATGACATTATATTGTATGGTGTGGTATGGATTGGTACGTCATGTTATGACAGGTTATGCGTTTGCTGATGGTGATGATGTTAATGATGATGATGATGATGATGATGATGATGATGACGACGAGGATGAGGATGAGGATGAGGAGGAGGAGGCTGGCGATGATGATGATGATGATATGCTGCTGCTGCTGCTGCTGCTGCTTCTGATGATGATGACGATGCTGATGGTGATATTGATGCTGGTGATGGTGATGGTGGTGATGATGTTGATGATGGGTGATGATAATGATGATGATGATGATGATGATGATGATGATGATGATGGTGAGGAGGAGGAGGAGGAGGAGGAGGAGGAGGAGGAGGAGGAGGAGGCATATTCTGAGGATGTCTCGAGCAAGGCTCGGATTTCAGCACCCCCAAGGGGGAGCCGCCAGGGGGTATCTCACTCCGTTCGCGCCAAAATGGTGGGGATGTCTCGAGCGGTTTGCCTGTTTGTGCCCCAGACATCCTCCGCTTTCGGAACATGTTATGAGGATGTCTCGAGCGAGGCGCTGGTTCTTGCACCCCTGGTGGCCCAGATTGCGAGAATGTCTCGAACGGTTTGCGTGTTCTGCTGGCCAGACTCGTGGGCACGGATCCTCCTCAGGATGCCACAGGAGGCTCTAGGAGGCCCCAGGAGGCCACAGGAGGACACAGGAGGCATCAGGAGGCCACAGGAGGACACAGGAGGCCCCAGGAGGTCACAGGGGGCCTCAGGAGGCCCGAAGAGGCTCGAGGAGGCCTTACGAAGCACCAGGATGCCCCAGGAGGCTACAGGAGGCCACAGGAAGCGCCAGAAGGTACCAGGAGGCATCGGAAGGCACCGGGAGCTCCCATGAGGTCCCAGGAGCAGGAGGCCTCAGAAGGCAACAGGAGTGGCTCCAATCCCCGGTGTTTTACATGTGTTCCAATAGACATGGCCTCCCCTGGACTACGAATCCTTGGTGCTTTGCCTTATGTTTCTATAGATTGTCCTTCTCCTGCGTAGCCACTCCTAAGTGTTTCACGTATGTTCTTATAGATTGGGTCTCCCGTGGGGCACGAGTCCTCGGTTCTTTATTTGTGCTCCTATAGATTGTGTGGCTCCAATCCTGTTTGTTCTTTAGGTCTGTTCCTATATATTGGGCTTCTCCTGGGGCACGAATCCTTCCAAGGAGGCTCCAGGAGGCTCCTGGAGGCCTCAGGAGGCCGCACGAGGCCCCAGGAGGCTTCAGGAGGCCACAGGAAGGCCCAATAGGCCCCAGGACCCCCCAACAGGCACCAGGAGGCCCAAGGAAGCCCCAGGAGGTTTCAAGAGGTCCCAGGAGGCCCCAGGCCCATGCGCAGAGACGCACGTCCACAGTTAGATTCACTCCCAGACCGTCAATACTCGAGCCTGTTTGAATTCGAAAACACTTGCGCCTAGACACTCACGGCGGACAGGTTCATGCCAATAGTTTCACGGATGGGGTGTTCCACGCAGTGATTGATGTTATGTTCTGATGATGGTAATGCTAGTGATGATTGCGATGATGACCATGACGATGATGATGCTGATGATGATGGTGATGCTGATGATGATGATGTTGATGCTGATGCTGCTGATGATGATGATGATGATGCTGATGGTGATGATGATGATGATGATGATGATGATGATGATGATGATGATGATGATGATAATGATGATGATGATGGTGGTGCTGGTGCTGGTGCTGGTGCTGGTGCTGATGCTGATGCTAATGCTCATGCTGATGCTGATGCTGCTGATTGTGATGATGATGAGGATGGTGGTGATGATGGTGATGGGGAAGCTGATGATGACGATGAAGATTATGATGCTGATGGTGATGATGATGGTTGATGATTATGATGAAGACTGCGATGCTGATGATGATGTTGATACTGATGATGAGGATGACGATACTGATGATGTTGATGGTGGTGATGATGATGACGACGCTGATGCTGCTGCTGATGATGATGATGCTGATGGTGATAATGATAATACTGATGATGGTAGTGGTGATGGTGATGGTGATGGTGGTGATGATGTTGATAGTGAGGACGGCGGGGCAATTAGTTGACGCGTCGCGTATCCCCACCAGCGCGATCGGCGACAGGGGCCGCCAGCGATCCGTGTGGGAGGGCCCCAGGGACGGGGATCGCCGTGCCGCCAAGTCCCCAAGGGGCGACCCAGCCCGGTCACACATTCTCCAGGCACCTTTGACAGACATACGAGAAACGCAACCACCCCGAGGCAATCCGAGCGACCCCATGGGGGGCATCCCCATGTATATGTGCCCGGTCGGCGAAGCTGATGTTACGAAGGACGAACCGATACAGGAGAAGACATCACGCCTGCAAAAGACCCTGGGAGGTGCGTTCAACGGGGTCTGGGTCGCATGGGTGAGGAGGGCGGCCGTGAGGCAGGGGACCATCGAGACTGTGAAGAATGACCCCAAGCTGGACTCCGTGCATCTTTGCAGCGAATTTCTCCAGGCATGGGGCAACCCAGCGTATGACGCATACAAGATGGACAGAGGCCTAGGGCTCCGCGTCGATTGGCCAACGGTCAAGGACAGACATACCCGGCTCTTGCAACGCGAGCCCAGGCCCCACACTCAGCGCGTGACCGACGGCAGCAGCGGCCCCACCCCATGGACCAAGGAGGTCAAGAGGGCGACAGAGGCGTCGCCGCAGGAGCAATGGACTGGTGCATCCGGCTCCGCCAACCCGTGGCACGGTTGGCGGGAATGGGGTTCTTGGAATCACCAGGGCGCACCGTGGACAGATACCGACTGGAAAGCCAAAGGCAAACGCTACTCCCCCAGGGGAGAAGATCCATACACCGACAAGCGCGCACGATGGTGGGATTGACCTCACCAGTGGGCCAAGGGCACGCAGGGACGGGCCCGCCCGTCGGGGTGCCCCCGCCCTCAGCGACAGCGAACCCCCCAGGCGCTAGCCGCCCTCTCCCCGCTGGGGACAGTTTCACCCAGCAGCGCCTGGCCTTGACCGTGATACCCTGGGCATCTCCCGCTGGGGCGGGGATGTCCCCACATCTCACCCAAGGCGCCGCATAGCTAGACAGCCCGCACTGGATAAGTGGACCTTGCCATGCCATCTTGCCCCCCCCCCAGCGGCTGGTGGGGATGAGCTCGTAGGCCCCACCGGCCCATGGCCAAGAGCCGCCTTCTATGACGGCTGACTGCGCGGTTGGGGACTGGGGACGGACGCAGACGCCTCCCCAGGCTCCAGTCCCTTTGCTGTCTCCCGACAGCCACTTTGGTCGGCAGAGGGCAGTTGACTGGAATAGTCCTCCCAATGCGCACCACTCAGTTAACGGAGGTCCGTGTGCAGCCCACAGACCCCCCTAGTACCGCGAGGCGGTAGTGTCGGGAATGCTAGAAAGGGCCATGAGGAGGCTAGTCAGCTAGCTCACTGATGCGGATTGCGCTGTCCACCCACCATAGGGACAGGCGCCTGTACCGCCCAGCGCAGTGGCGGGTCTCCCCCCCATGAGACCGCCACTGTCGTGGGAAGTGGCACCCCTCTCCTCCTGCGTCAATTCATATGTGATTGTGGCTGTTGGCCGCGCCTCCCCTCCTCCTCCTCCTCCTCCTCCTCCTCCTCCTCCTCCTCCTCCTCCCTCCCTCCTCCTCCTCCTCCTCCTCCTCCTCCTCCTCCTCCTCCTCCTCCTCCTCCTCCTCCTCCTCCTCCTCCTCCTCTCCCTTCCCTCGCATGTGTACATTGCGGCTGTTGGCTGCACCCCCCTCTTTGCCCCGTGGGCCTCAGCGACTATCGCGCCCGGTACCTGCGAGGCTTTAGTAGACCAGCCCTTGGGCCAGTGTGTCCTCGCTCATCTGCTACGGTCCCGTCACTGGTTTCGGGTATGATGACGACACACCTGCCCCTTCCGGGCTGCAGTGTGGTCCGCGGAGTGGGTGCTCCCGTTGGCAGTTTCTGTCGCCCGGCTCCCTCTGAGGTCAAATTCAACCCTGACTACACCCCAGCGCCTTCGAGCTAGCCGCGGCTGCAGCGTATCTCGGCGGTCTTCGGCCGTTACC